TGGTCATAAGAACTTTTCTTAAACTTTAAAGAAAGCATGAACATATCAAATTTCTTGTTCCATTGCCTAGGAGATTGTTTCAAACCATACAAGGATTTCTTTAACAAACACACATAATCAGATTTCTTATCATCCACAAAACCGACAGGTTGTTTCATATATACTTTCTCATCTAATTCACCATGCAAGAAAGCAGTTTTAACATCCATTTGCTTTAATTCCCAATCAAAATGAGCAACTAAAGCAAGCATGATACGCACAGTGGTGAATTTAACAACAGGAGAAAATATTTCGGTATAATCAATACCCTCACGTTGAGTGAAACCTTTTGCTACGAGTCTAGCTTTAAACCTAACCGAATCATTTTCTTGTTTAACCTTATACAACCATTTGCAATCCACTAAGGAACAATTATCAGGTTTAGGCACAAGCGACCAAGTATGATTCACATGCAACGAATTAATTTCTTCACGCATAGCATTCATCCATTGCAAAGAATTCACAGATTTAAGAGCTTCCTCATAACACTTAGGCTCACAATTATCAATGGATTCGAAAACACCAAAAGCATACGAAGTCATGTGAAAATCATCAAACTTAGAAGGTTTCTTACGCTCCCTTCTAGTCCTATCTCTAGCAAGTTGATAATCATGCAAATCAACATCATTTTCAGGCACATTTTCCACATATTCATCATGCACATCGACATTTTCACCATTTTCAGCATGCTGATTTTCAGTTTCAGCTGTAACAGATTCATTTTCAGCAATTTCAGCATGTCGATTATCAAACACAACACGTTCGGTTTCAGTTTCAGCATGCATATTTTCAAAATTATCGAAATCACTTAAACCACTCAATTGCTCCACCGCATTTGGAGCATTTTCAGATTCATCAGGTAAAGGAGCAGGCAAAGAAGTAATTAAACATGGCATTTCAGATTCATTGAACACAACATCACGACTTATAACGACCTTAAAGTCGGGTACGCTTCTAAGCCACAATCTATAACCTTTAACACCATCAGGATATCCTAAGAAAACACATTTCATCGAGCGAGGTTCAAGTTTATCAAGTTTCGTATGACAAAATACAACACAACCGAAAACACGCAAGTTTGAAAAATCAATTTCTTTACCAGACCAAACAAACTCAGGACATTTACCATTTAAAGGCACGGAAGACGACCTATTTATCAAATAAGCTGCAGTTAAAACGGCCTCACCCCAAACCTTTTTTGAAAGCCCCGAACTAGACAACTTACACCTCACCCTTTCAAGTAAAGTTCTATTCATTCGCTCGGCAACACCGTTTTGTTGAGGGGTGTAAGGCACGGTTTTATGCCTTTGAATACCGGATTGAGCACATAATTCATCAAACAAATTATTGCAAAATTCAAGCCCATTATCAGTCCTAAGAATTTTAATCTTTTTACCGGTTTGGTTTTCAATCATGGTTTTCCAAGTCTTAAACGTTTCGAAAACATCAGATTTATTTTTCAAAAGAAACAGAAAGACTTTTCTTGAAAAATTATCTATCACAGACAAGAAATACCTACTCCCGCCATGTGTCGGAACACTAGCGGGACCCCAAACATCGGCATGCAAATATTCAAGAATTTCCGAACACATAGAGGGTTTAGGGGAAGGTGAAACAGGAAATTTAACACGTTGTTGTTTGCCAAGTATACAAGAATCACAAAACGGCACACAAGATAATTTATCTTTACCAAAACAGACCGCTTTATGCAAAATTTCAAGACCACGACTACTCATATGACCTAAACGTCTATGCCAAAGATCAGTTTGGTCCACATGAATAGCATTCACAGAAATTTCAGTATGTGATTCACAAGTAGCAGTGCAAATATACAAGTTTTTCCGTTTTTCAGCTTTGAAAATAACCAATGAACCTTTTAGAATTTTCATAACCCCTTTACCCCATTTACCCTCTAACCCGTCATCCTCAAGAGCAGCACATGAAATCAGGTTATGGCACAAGTCGGGAACATGACGAACATTTTTCAAACAAAGCACATAACCAGAATTAAACTTAAGGCACACATCACCAATACCAGCCACATCACAAAGCTTCTCATTTGCCATAGAAACAGAGCCATTTTTAACCTCTTTGTAGTTTGAAAACAAATTTCTAAATGGAGACATGTGAAAAGTGCAACCGGAATCAACAAGCCATTCATTTTCACAAAGTTTAGAATGCAAAGAGTTCACATCAGCATGCATATCACATGTTTCAGTCACAACAAACACATCACCAAGATTATCACTGCACGAGGCCACATTAGCTTGATTCTTTTTAGGTTTAGTGCACTCTTTAGCATAATGCCCAACGTCACCACAATTGTAACACTTACGATTTTTCGGACGGGATTTAGAACGACTTTTTCCTTTACCCTTTTTCTTTTCAGCAGGTTGGTTACCATTATTGTTAGAGGTCTTTTGATTTTGAAATCTATTTTGTTGTCGACCTCTAACAAAATAAACCTCACCCGAATTTTTACTCCCCTTATGAGCTTTTAAATCTAATTCTTTACTCTTTAATCCATTCACAACAGTTTCAAGTGTCACATTATCCATACCATACTTAATAGCAGATTTGACATCACTATAAGAATCAAGAATAGCATTTAAAAGCACAATAGGAGTATAATCATCAATATGCTTATCACCAGTCAATTTAATATCTTGAACAAGTTTAGTAAACACATCAAGATTTTCATCAATGTCTTTAGAAAGATCAACTGTAAACCGAAAAAAGTTTTCAAGCAAGAACAATTTACTCGGCAAAGAAGTTTCAGTATATAACTCTTCTAATTTTTCCCAAAGATCTTTTGAAGAATCAAGTTTACCAACTTTCCTAAGCACAGAGTCGGACAAATTCAAGATAATATACGAATAAGGAAATTGATCTATTTCAGCAATTTTATCAGAAGGTTCATCGGGTGGAAACGAGCCTTCAACGACTTTAAACACCCTCTGCTGAATTAAAATACCTTTCATTTTTTGTTGCCAAATTGAAAAATCAGATTTCCCATCAAACGGGGCCACATTAAAAGTTGGAAATGAAGCCATTTTCACAGAAAACACAACAGATTTCACAGAAAATACCAGCACAAATTTCAGCAATTAAAAACACTCAGTTTCAGCCCAAAATTAGATTCTTCAGCAATTAAAATCGCACAGAAATCAGCACAAATTATATTCAGCTCGATAAACACGTAGTTTTCAGCACCAATTAATTTTCAGCAATTTAACAAGCAATTATCAGCTTAATGAACAGCAACAAATGAGGCACAAAGACTCCAAAAAAATAACAAAAATTTAACACGAAGCAAATTTCACTGAAATTAGCACAAGACAACAGAAAATACGAAATTTAATGCTCGAACCACAGAAAAATAGCCACAGGCAGAGCAACAAGGATAAGCACGTTTAACACATAGCATGCATATCTAACCTATTGATCTAGCAGCTAGTTTCCCAACACGCAATCCTATTCTCTAGACGCAATCCCCGTCCAGAGGCTACAATAATCCTATTCCCTGGACGCAATCCCCATCCAGGGTCTACAATAAACAGAAAGCGGAATAAAAGGACAAAATTTTGAGCCAATACCAGAGCGAACCCTAACACGTAGGTGCTCGACTTACCTGCGGTGGCGGGACGGCTCTGATACCACTGTTAGGTGGCCGTCCCGTTCCACCGCTTGCTCGTACGCAGCGGAAGCTCGTCTGTTTTGCTCTCTGACCGCAATGCAACTTTCACGGGCCTTGCTCGGGTGCTGCTCGTACCACCGGAACTCCAAGTCTGCTCCTTTTCGGTCCCGGGCTAATTCCAGCTGCTCTTTAATAGCACCGTTTCAGCCCCACTTCAAGCCCGATTAAACCTAGACACAAAGACACGTTTAATGGTGAATATCAACAAACAAAAGGGGGAAAAAATGCACTAAGTAATTTGCTGTAAAAATAAGGAACAGAAAGAGGCTGAAAGTGAAATAAAAGAGAAGAACAAATCTCCCTTTATCTCATCGGGACCCGTTCGCGATTTGGACGCGTAGTCCGGCTCAGATTGCCCTTGAGCCCGGCACCCTCGGTAAGTCCGACTCGGTGGCGGTCAACGGACGGCAGCCCCGGTTCCTCGACCCAATCCCTGGGCTGCACCTCACACACGGGCTACGCACCCGATCACCCCGTCACCTACGCTCACGTCTCAGAAAGAGACTCGCCTGGAAGCCTAACGGGCTCTTACCGGCGATTAGAGCTCGACGACGGTGCGACGGTACAGAGGCGGCAAGACGGCGGCACTCACGGTGTCTCTCACAGTGGCTCTCACAAAGGTGGTCACGAAGAACGTATTAAGAGAGGAGATCGAACGGTGTGGTTCACTCACAGAGAGAGAATCAGTCGCGCAGCAGGTAAGAGAGAGAGGTGAGATGATTGTTCTGATTTAGGGTTAGAGTGTGAGGGGTATTTATGGCTAGAGATGGAGGGCTGGGATTAATCCCCTAAATCTAAGGGTCCATATCAATTCCTACCACTTGTGTGTGTAAGAGGGTCAGGCCCAGTCGGAATTGGGCCGGGGCTTCCTTGGGCCTGAGATAGGTATCTGGTTACTGGGCCAAATATCCCAACAACAGGCAAATTCACCTCTATGTATATAATAAGCAATTTAGGTGTGCCTTGTACTTATGTTGTCGAAGTTAATCGGATACCAAATATAGACAAGTAGTACTTTACATACAAAATTTGAAATCTAGATATTCTAATTCTGGGGCCAAGAAAGATCTGTATTGTGTGGACAATTTTGTCCTCCTGTCTAAGGTGGTACAGAGCTACAATGGCCGCCAATTGATGTGACAGAAGATTAACATATATATACACGGTGAGTATGACATTAAATATACGAAATCTTGACATGTGGCTCGTGACACATCTTAATATGCTAATAATTGGTAGGTAATTTTTTTCACATTAGTATAATATTTGTCACTATGAAAAATGCAGTATTGATTACGCTCTTTGTTTGAGGGTGTTATTAAAAATTTTATTGATATGTTGGGGAGATATATTAAAAATCTGTAATCATAGATGTACGTTCATTCGAATGCAGAAGCAATGTTCTACAAAACATGAACCTTCAGGAGAGCATCTCGCTCTTCTTTCGAAACTCTTTCATATATATAGGTGTTTGGGCCATTACAGTTAGGAATTATAACGAACATTCCCTCTTTTGAACCAAAAATGTAATCACATATGCAACTACTTTCCCGATCACAAATTCTTTATGGATTTTCTCAAAACGAATCCCTCATATTTTTCTAAGTGTTCCTTTCAAACACTTATATTATCTTAAATTATGAATACGCCGAGATCGAGAATTGTCTCTCGTATCCACTCAATCAAAATAAAAATAATCTCTAAATGAATAATGCGCAAACAACAATTCACGCCCTTTTTCAAAACAAAATAGAAAGATAATTGTCAAAGTTGTTTTCCCAATCGTGCGTTGAACCATTTTTAATTCTCCTCATTATGGAAGTCCATCTTGCCTTCTTTCTTCCAAACTTAGCCGTGTCCACATTCTCGCACTCGTGGCCGATGGTCCCTTTTTCAAGTCATCTCTACGTGGTAAGTTATTCATCCATCTCTGCTGCTTCATATGATAATTATTCCACGTGCCTTGTGACATTTTTGTTTGGTTAAGTATGATCCTTCTTTCTTACCAAGTGTAAAGTAAGATATTTTGAAAATCTTTTCTCGATTACCTTTAAATAAAATAAACTAATTAGGGGAGAGTAGCTATAGCTACATTGTTCATCTTCCGCTCGCTGCCTCTGTCTTTTCTTTCCATAAGGTAAGATATCTTGAAATTTTTTTCTCGATTACCTTCAAATAAAATAAACTAATTAAACGACTTAACAAAATAAAATCAAGAGAATAAAATCAATTAATGTAATAGAAATTTTCTTTTATCTTTTAGAGCATCCACAATGCTTTGGGTCTCTTTTTGCATATGTGGCAAATAAATAGACT